CAAACTATCAGTAGAGCAAATTGTTTACATTGGGGCTACTACTAGAATGCTACAGTCCCGTATCCTGGAACATCAAGATGATATTAAAAACAAACCAGCAAATGAGTTATCTAAAAGGGTACTGGACCAGAATTATCCACCACTGTGGGCACACATCAAATTACTTAAGTGGTGCAATGATCAAAGAGAGTTATTTATATGAGAGAACCTCTGTGGTCACCGAATGGTGAGTTGTTAAAGGAAAAAGGGAAAACAAATAAAACAATGAAAAAAACTTTAATTTCACCGGTTGGTTATTACTTTCCAATTTAGGTTCTACAGGATCGTTCGATTCCGACACTCCTTTTTGGTACTGGGCTAACCCGTAGGAACAAAGAATCCCACGCGCAGGTAGGAATGTTGATACGAATTCCGCGACAAAATCAAGATTTTACCGACAAATTCAATCGCGACAAACAACATATATATATACGACTAAGACTTAAAGCTAATTATCCTATTAATAAAAAAAAGAGAGGGACAGAAGTTAAGGCATAGAGATTGGAAAAAGAATGAGAGGTGGGTACCCAATGGTGGTCGACACTCTAGTTTTCTGTAGGAAGGTCGACCCGTGTTCTTGTTGTTTCGCTGGGGGAACGTGAAGTATTCGATTCTCGGGGAAGGGAGCTCTCCAAACTGATCTTGTGCCAGTTCCGTTATCAAAGTTCCATGGCTTTGTCCTATCCCGACTTTAGTCTCTCGTCCAGGGCTATATCTCCGACTGCTCTCAAGCGGTCCGAAGATCTCTCGTACACGTCCTTCCTCTCCGACGTCCGAGCTAGCAGTGTCCGTTCCCCCTCATTCTTACCCTCAGGGCTCCCCTTTCCCCTTTGTTTCCCAAGTAGGTCAATTCACTCCACGTGGTTAGAAGTTTCTAGAATGTTCCATAGAACAAAGGACAGAGAGGGAAGAAAGGAGATAGGAAAATATCTACATATTTTCGTTTTATACAACAGAACAATATGGTGGTACACCACACCTCTATATATCTGCTGTAACACCATTCAATGCACTGACCATTGAAATCCCACAACTGTGGGTAACCTTATTCAAACGATTTAAAATTTGTAATTTTGTATTCACACATGTACTGTACCAGAACCATATACAGCTTACTAAATTGCTTTTGTAAGTGTTTTTGGAAAATATGGTATCAATTACTATGTACTTCTATAATTTTTTGAAAATATTTAAATTTAATTTCAATTTGTTCTGTATTCCATTCATGTCCCTTGAATAATTTTAAAAAGTCCATTTGAAAACTGAACGTTCAAAAATTAATTGTATTTGATTTCGTTTTCACCTGAAGATGGTGGCTGTAAGCTGTCGAAATTACTAGCAAGTAACTCTTAATTACGCTAATAAATCATGATTGTAATGCTGCGACATTGTTGTGTTAATTATTTTATTTAATTGTTGGCATAAGTGTCTTTTTACGATTATTAAGAAAAAAGTATCAAGTATTATGTAATTTAAGGAACAGTATCTTTGACAGATATATTTTATAATGTTTATATATTTTTGATATTTTATATTCAAAAGCTGAAATATAGAAAAGACAGATGAAAACAAAGCAATGAAATTGATTTAGATAATTGTATTTAACTCACTTCTATACATTATTCACTAATATTCTAATTAATGTAGCAATATCTTTTAGCTGTCTAATCTGCTTTTTTTTCTATAAAACTCACACGACCAACAATTTTTTTTGTTTGTTAATATTGTAATGCTAATGAGGAATTACTATGAAATTTTTTTTTTTGGTATTATCTTTATACTCTTGTGTTCTCCTAATATTCTTGTGTTCTTTCTATCTTTGTTCTCATTTACCCATAGACTTTTAATGGGTGACATGTATGCAAATTGTAACAATAAATTTACTTTTGTAACAGATTAAGAGACTGATACTATAAGAAAATGAACACTTTACAAATTTTAGTTTGTTAGTTGTCACCATTGTTCTTACTTTCAATCTAAAGTTACAGAATATCATTCACCACATTTACAGAATATAAAAAATTACTACACACAGAAGAGCTGTGTAAATGTGGCTTTATCACATTAATCCAAAAAGTTATGGAAGGGATAGGCCCAGGATATGGTCTGGGTATGTTGGATGGAAATGCTAAGGCATTAACATTTCTATTTATGGTCATAGAAGATAATTATGTGGGTGATATTGAAGACCACACACATGCTTAGAAGCATTAGAGCTATACAATTAAAATAGTAAGTTTGGCTTATTGCACATTTTACAATTAATGAAAGCATCCTTAAATATGTGTAAGAAAAATGATGAGTTCATGTCAGATTATAAACAGAATTACATTGTATCACAAGCTGAAGGGAGGATGTGACTTCAATGATTGCAAGCATACATTAGTTATTTTAAATGGAACTGTCAGAATCATATGAGGCCAAATACAAAGCCTAGAACAAAAAGAAGATAAAATAAACTTTTTTTTTTCATACAAATAGTCTTGTTGCAGTTTGGTGTCATAATTTGTTTATAGATTTTGTAATTGTTCTACTGACTATCAGGATTTGGGCAACACCAGCATAATTGTAACTAGCCTAGAGTTGACATCCATAAAAGTATCTGTCAAAGAAATCATGCACAAATAAATTAATTTATTTTCCTCTATACTGCATAGTGTGTTTGTTGTATGTTTGTCTTTGTGGCTAACTGAAACACTATCATATAGTAATTTCTTAATACAAACATGTTTAAAATACGAAATGGATGATTTAATTTATAAGAACAAAACATATTTTAAAATTTACTTAAAATCCTAATTTGAAAAATTCAAAATTTGCTACTGTGTAGCTAGTTATCAATAGTACAATTATCTGTTTTACTAAGTATGGTGTAATATCTATAATACAGAATTATACATGTATGCACAGAGCCAGCTCTAAATAAACATTGAGTATGGATAAAGAATATTTGGCATCTTCTGGTAAAGACAAAAAAGCCAAAAAAATTATTTGTTAAGAGAAACATTTTTTGATTAGAAATAAACAAATAAGGGTTACTTTTAATTAAAAATTCCAAAGGAAGTTATGGAATTTAAAGAAAAGCAAAAACAAACTTGAGTTTTAATGTCACTGTCCTTTAGCTAAAATTCAGTAGTCTATAAGATACATGTTAATAAAACAGTTTATAAGATTATCAGCACAAAACCTTTCTCACCAATTTCTAGCCTTATTAACAGGAGTACAAACGTTTTCGGCCTTCTTAATAGGCCTTCCTCGGGTACACTGTGGAGCGTCGGTTAGAAGAAGTTTAAATGCTGCCAATGTTTACCCAGGTATCGTCTTACCAGTGACGTCATCGCCGATGATAGGTATACGATACCGAGGGTGAAAAATACATACTTTTGGTAAAGAAGGGAGGTGTGCAGATAGGATACTTGCTAAAGTTGGGGAAAAAGATTTTAGAGTAAGCGCGCTACGTACAGGAGATGCACAATCACAACAGGGGGTTAGTGGGGAGTGACGTCATAGTTGAGGCCGTAAATATTCAACGCTACAGTAAGAAGAGGCGTGCGAACGACCGTGGATGGGAAGGGGGTTACGATTAGAAGGTAGAATTGGAAATAAACACGACAAGTAAAAAAGCGCTAACGGTTGCACGCGGTGAGGGTGGGATGGTCTATTTATTTCAAGGGGTTGTCGAAGAATGATTTCCAAGCGGAGGAGAGCGAGTCCGCATCTCTGCTGTTGATACAACCGTCTTTGAGGGATTGCTTAAATATTTCAATTGTTTCGACTGTTCTAAGCTTGGTGTGGTCGTGCATAGGAATAGTAATCCTCGCCTCTTCCCATTTGGTCGTTATACCAGGTTCGCTTGCAAACTGGGCAAGGGTGGAAGTGAATTTTTTGTTGTATGCGTCGTACTTGTGCTCAGTTATCCTCCTTTTAAGCGATCTATTGGTTGAGCCAATGTATGTTAGCTTCTTGCACGGGTTAGATCTGCCATCCTCCAATGGGACGGTGTAGACTCCTGGTCTCCTGGCTTCGCTGCATTTGTCCTTGGTGTTAGCTAGAAGTTTATAAATCGTAGGGTCGCGTCTGTATGTGAGAGTAGTATTACTTGTCATGTTTATTTCCAATTCTACCTTCTAATCGTAACCCCCTTCCCATCCACGGTTGTTCGTACGCCTCTTCTTGCTGTAGCGTTGAATATTTACGGCCTCATCTATGACGTCACTCCCCACTAACCCCCTGTTGTGATTGTGCATCTCCTGTACGTAGCGCGCTTACTCTAAAATCTTTTTCCCCAACTTTAGCAAGTATCCTATCTGGACACCTCCCTTCTTTACCAAAAGTATGTATTTTTCACCCTCGGTATCGTATACCTATCATCGACGATGACGTCACTGGTAAGACGATACCTGGGTAAACATTGGCAGCATTTAAACTTCTTCTAACCGACGCTCCACAGTGTACCCGAGGAAGGCCTATTAAGAAGGCCGAAAACGTTTGTACTCCTTTTAATAAGGCTAGAAATTGGTGAGAAAGGTTTTGTGCTGATAATCTTAGAAATAGTTCTAGCTACATATGCATAGTAGTGAAAACAGTTTATATTATAAACTATATAGTCAAATTTGTATATTCCATATGAACATGTTAGGAATGTTGGGATTAGGCTATTGCTTCATATTTTGCTTCAGCTTACTCGTCTGTGCTCTTAATCATAGCCTGTTCTGTTTGTGCACACAATCATACACAGCACACTTTGCCAACAAAGCAACAGTACTGCAATATAATTGTGCCACCGTAAAGAACAACTATTTTGTTGTAAATCTGCAAATCTTAGATTTCAATGCCTTTCAGCATCTGCATGATTTTATATGCATTACACCTACTTTGAGCCAACCCTGTACATACACACTAAAAATTATTGTAGGTAGTAGTAATATAAATAAAAATAATAATAATAAATCATTTCTAACCTTTCTAACCTCTTTTCTTTTACATTTTATATTTTCAGTATTCATAAAAATATTTTGTTTCAGTTCTTTAAAAGATCCTATGGTTGCATTTGATCTTGAAACAAATAATGGGCTTGTGTCAATATCCAATGATTTCTTTTTTTCTTTCACAGTTTTTACTTCAGTAATATTTTCTTTTTTGTCATCCTGAAGCAGGCACAAATTATTGGAATTATTCACAATTGGATGTTCTATCGGATGTTTCAGTGCACTTAAGATATTCTCAGAATCAATTTTTTCAACCTAATTTTAAAATATTTGATTAATTTAAATTCTAATGTATTATTTTTATTTTTAATAAAATAAAAAACAACTTACCTCAGAAAAATTTATGAGTGAGTTCTGTGCATTTTCGGATAACGTATTCATAATTTTCTGTCAAAAATATAACAGTTATTTATATTCTGATTTTCTAAAAATAAATACACAAATACAGTAGAGCGTCATTTATCCGAATCAATTGGGGACTGGGGTCATTCGGATAACTTATTTTTTGGATAACCGATTATGTACAAAAAAATATATTAACCTATCCCGTGTTGAAATTTTTCTCTGTTGCGTGTCGCTTCGCATTGAATTTTCGTCATTGTTAAGCCTAACAAAGACTATTGTACCGTTAAAAATTATTTTTTTATTCTGTACAAACAAAATAAATATATTGAAAAATATAAAAACAATAAAAAATTATACTTTAGAAGTTAATTTAGTATCAAAAACGTAAAATATTTGAGTAGCCCAAGACATAGCCAAAGATTGCAGCGCCACAGCACTAGCGAAAATTTAAATTTGCCGACTGGAATTCTTTCGGATAACCGACTTTCAGATAAACAACGCTCTACTGTATTAATATATCATCAATGTATATCTCTAACATTTATTTGAAACGAGAGTATAAAACATAAGAAATAAGACATAAGAGAGAGCTGAAGGAGCATAAAACAATTAACAATTTGGTTTAAAGTACTGTATTTTTATAAAGACACTACATATTCTGTAAAAGTTGTGATTTGGAAACAATGATTTCTTATGAACCATCACTACAAAATTCTTCATTTGACAGAGTACTGCTAACATTTATGAAACAAGCATTACTTTTTACTTATTGGCAATTATAGTTCAAGAAAGATAACTGTGTCATTTGTTTTTATATAACAATAGGTACAGAATATATTTACTTGAAAGTTTTTCTAATTTTCAAGTTTAATTTTCCTAAAGCATTATTCAAATCATACAAACAAGGGGCACCCAGAAAATAAAGAACATTTGCTCTTAGTACTCTGCGCAAGGTAAATTACCATCACCAATTTGAGGTAAATTTATTCTCCGATTTGTCGGCTTAGCATCCGAGTTTTGATAACAGCAGACTTATTGTTATTCTTTTGTCAAGAGTTAAAATGTGTACAAAAATTGAAAATCCTGTCAAGTGCAAACTGCAAAGTTTTATTTGTTCTCTAAATGCAAAGAAAGTTTGTCCTATAGAAATTCATAAACAAGTCACAGAAGGATATGGTGACCACATTATGAATGAAGCAAATCTGAGAAAATGGTGTTTAATGTTTAATGAAAGCACTCTACTTTAGTTAATCAAGCTGTCTTCAGAAATTTGGCTGGGACAATTTCAACCACCCATCATACAGTCCCAACCTGGCCCCCAGTGACTTTCACCTCTTTCCCAAGCTGAAAGAGTTTTTGGGTGGATTTAGAATGCTTTAAAATGGATGAGAGATGAAAGAAACTGTCACAACTGGCAGTGGAAGTCTATGACAAATGAATACAAAAACTAGTTTCGTGCTATGACTATTGCTTTAATCATAATGGCAACTATGTAGAGAAGTAACTGGTTTTACATTAATTGGGTTGCAATTTGAAAAAATTGCAGACCAATAAATTCCCACTGTCGTCCATAAGTACTCTGCAAGTACTGCATGTCCTTCCTTAATCTCGAGAACAGCACTATGTAGATGAAAGCAGAGACTGGATATGAAAAACTTATGGGCAGGAGGCCCTAATTAACTATATATGAACTTTTGATACAAATCTGAAGTCACATTATTTCAAATCAAAAATTTTCCTCTGAAATGAGTTAGATAGCAATAGAGTCATGCCAGTCATCTAACAGGAAAAGTATGATGTACAGGAGCAAGACATTACTAATTTGAGATAGAGAGCATATATTTTAAATTATTACTTAATAAAACTTTTCTCTGTCATTATTCTTTTATAATGCAACTCCAATTTCTCATATTACAAGAAAAAGAACTTTAAAATGTCATTATTATTTCTTACTTATTGTAAGAAAGTCAAATTTTCATCCCTGTTAAAAAATTTTCTATTTTGTTTTATGTGGAAATTAGATTTGATAGAGCTTAATGGGTAATAGACAATGGCAATAAGCAATTACAATATCATAGCATAAAAAAAATTTCCTGTAGAATAAAGATAAAATTTAAAGGAATCTTTAGTGCATTGTAGAATTGTCTCTTGCCTAAATATATGCACAATATGGTTAGACATTGACGCATACAGATACGATATTCTATCCTACAACAGATTTACCCACAGATGTTGCAACTGCCATTCCAGATCCTTCACACTTGTATATACGTGGTTTAAGCTGGTATCTTATCTGGTCCTATAAATGTTTGATGAGCAACATATTTGGAGATTGATCAGACCTAAGAAGTGTGACAATGTGATGGAGACATTCCTGGGAAACATAATTGTGATGCTGAGCATTATCTGGCTGGAAAATGGCTGTCAAAAGAGATAGCTCTCTAAAACAGCACACCAGCAGTGAGGGAAATATGCTACTCAACTATTCAAAATTCTTTAAACTACCTTCTAAAATAAAACTCCAGTAACTCCTTACTCATATGTAGACTAACATTTTCAATCCTCCCCTCTGGAAGGATACTTTAAAGAATTTTTAATATTGTCACTCCAGTCTGAAGGAATTGTGAACAGAACATGATACTCAACAGTAAAGGTGGAATTCAGATATTCACCAAATAAAATATAATATTGTAATAATGTTAATATATTTTATTCAAAAAGCAAAGTTTAAAGCTATAAAACCAGTCACCTGAGTCATTTCCATTGCATCTTTTTGTAATTGAAACCATGTCAATAAACTTCGAACAGCTGTTTGCACAATTATTATGCTCCAAATTTCTTCATATTTTCTCTCAGTAAATGATTCACTTTCCTATTATAATATATATGTCTTTAATAACTTTATTCATTTACTTTGTATAGAACTTTTTAATTCATCATAAATTGTTAAAACAATTCTATTAGCATAGTTTGAAAATTTATTTTAACGAGCTAACATTAATTAAATCATAATTTTTATGTAACTAAAATTTGTATTTTTAGAATAAATTATATATTATAATAATGCTTCTAATTACTAATTAAATGTCAAGTAATTGTTTGGCATTGATCTAAAAATCAGGTTAATGAATGTTGTTATATCAGGTTATAGTTGTATATTTGTATATACACACAATGCTGGAGTAAAGCGATAGCTCACTAAGTGTCATGATGGGAGTTACAACCCTTGGGCATTGAAGTCATTCCTATTCAGTACTTTAAGTATCATTATGGTTATATCTAAATTAATAGTTCTGGAAGTGAAGATTGGATGGAGGTCCAGCTAGTGTAACTGGCAACATGTCCACATGACAAACAGGAGTCGCTGGTTCAAATCCTACTTAAAGCAAGTTCTTTTCTTCCAGAACCTTCTAAATTAATTATTAAATTTATGAAAAGATGATGCCTAATGCCTACCTCTAGACCAGGGGTGGCCAACACGAGGCCCGCGGGCCGTATGCGGCCCGCCTGGAGTCATGTTGCGGCCCGTGGAGCTAGGGCAAATGAACGTAAATGTTAACTTAATTGTACATATCACCAAAAGAACATTACGTCATGAGTTATTCCTATCATGTATTTTTAAATTATAGCTAACAGAAATTTGAAATATCTCTCATTTTGGAAAAATTCATAGATTTTTAGCTATTTCAAATATCCCGCTATTTGACACTCAAGGTTACTTAGTTTTTTGTCCGACGCTAGGTGTTGATAAAATTTAATATGAGACCTCAGCTATATATGTTCTGTGGTCTTCGGCGTTTTCGGGAAGCTCACAATGCTATCGGGCTCATACTCATAACTACTTTCAGTCCAGCTTGACAAAGTTCCGTGTTATTCTGTAGTTTCGTTTTATTATCGCCAATGCATCTGGAGAGATTTTGCAATCGACGTTAAAATACATATTTAGCATATTTTATAATTACAGTTCAAACTACTTTAACCAAGTAGCCTGTCTACCATATCGATTCTATAAGTAAGTAAACCCTGAAACGTTGGAGAAATTTCGTCAAGTTGGTTTGGAAGAGTTCTGTGAAACGTATTTGGACAAGGATAAATATCCTGAGTTTTACAAATATGCTCTGTCGATGGTTTCGCTATGTGGAAACACTTATGCGTGTGAACAGCTTTTTAGTCGCATGAAGTACATCAAATCACAAGTGAGATCGAATTACTGATGTTCATTTGGAAAACTGTTTGCGTGTAGCGACATCATCAGTGGAGATCAATTTTGATGCACTTAGTTCTGTAAAACAAAGTCAGATGTCTCACTTTTAAATATTTTTAAATTGTCTAATAAATATGTTTGATTCTCGGTTATGTTTTATTTTCTTCAAAAAAATAAATATACCTATTTTTTGTGTTTTTTTACATTAAACCAGGCAAGTGTTTGACCACGATCTCACCTACTGGGAAGCGACGATGTGGTTGAAGCTGTAGCACGCTTGCTTGTTTACTTTAATTAAAAAAAAAAAAATAGGTGCGTGGCCCGGCAGGAAATATTATTTCTGAAATTTGGCCCGCCTTCTGAAAAGGTTGGCCACCCCTGCTCTAGACCAAATTACTTGACATTTGATTAGTAATTTAGTATCATTATTATAGCCCAATGTAATCTGGAAATTGTTTGATATTAATCATAATACTTAAACAATTGTAATTATCTATAATCATAATTATTATTATTATTATATTCTGTACTAAAGTTTACTAATGCTAAAATAAGTTTTTAAGGAGTTCAACTGATAATTTTATTTCAGAATTAAACATTTTTTCAGGATATTAGCTCCCATCATCAGATTTTGTCATTATATAGATTAGGACAGGAATCTTAAAACAGCTTCTTTGGAACCATTTTTTGTTTCAAAAATTTAAATGTGTGTTCTATAATCACAGTAACTTATCTAACTAAATCAAATTAAATTAGTAATACATTTTAATATTAGAAAATAAGAGTAAATATACAGAAAAAAATCAACCACATATGTTTGAATTTAACAATTTTTAGCATTGGTCGTAGCCACATCCGTCTGAAATCGGGTCAGTCACTATCCATGGCAACCGAGTGCGTAGTATAGGGAAAAGTGTTTATGAAGAAACCAATCAGTCTTATTTGAATAATTGTCAGATCACATGTTTGTCATCAAATTAATGAGCCATACCCACAAAGGACTGTTCTCTTTTCTCTTGTTTATGATAGGGTCACTTGTCATAGAGATCATTAAAAATTTTAAATCTTAATTTTCCTTAAAAACTTGTTTTACCATTAGTGGATTTTAGTTTATAATATGGAGTCAATTATAATGAAGAATATTCTAAATTATCCACTGCAAGCATTTATAACAATAAATGAAAAGTTTCTAAAAACTTAATAATCAAAAGCAGCATTATTTGAATGTTTGCTTTCATAAATATTTTAATAATATAAATTAAAATTGCTCTTATAAAAATACACCAAGTGATATATATTAACAAGAATAAATAAATAGCAATTTATTATCAACATTTCTTTTAATTATGTAACAAGATTTTATATTTAGTAACTTATAAAAACATCTGAACATTCCATTGATCACCTTTCTTATTAATAATCACAAGATCTAGGTATTTAACAAAAAGTAGTAGCAGTGTTAATGGATTATTTCTTGTTTTTATTTCTGCTAAGAAAATAATAATAAACAATTATCAATACCAAACATATTAGCAAAGATTAGTATTTTTGGATATTCCTTTTTTTTAGGGTCAAATTTGAAAAAAAATTGTGGAAACATTCCCACTGTCATCGTCTCTCCACCCCTCTATCATCTTTCTTTAATCTCGAGAATGGAGTTAGCAACACGAAAGTTGCGACCAGATAAGGAAAGATTGGGACCAGATAAGGAAAGACCCAATTAACTATATATGAACATCCGGTTCAAACTGGAAATCACATTATTTCAATTCAAAAATTTTCCCCTGAAAGGAATTAGATAATGACTCTGTTGATAACAGGAAAAGCATGATGTACATGGGCAAGGCACTACTAACTGAGGTAGAGACATTTTTTAATTAAATAAATTAAAAATATGATTAAAAATGTGCAGCCCAGCATTGTCACAAATAATCGCTCATTTTTATTTTCATTACTTTATTCATAAAACTATAAAATATAATTTTAACATTCATACCTTTCTCTTTTGTTCCTTCATAATTGCACTACATGTAATTTCAACCAAACTACCTGAAGCTGATAAAGAAAGCAATGAGCCATCTCCCTCAATATTATCATTGTCATTTGGAGTAATTAAGTCTGCATCCTCCTTCAAATCAAAAATATATTTTATAAATATATTATATAATATTTAATTACTACTACTTATAAAGTTATTTATTCTACTTGTAGATTTTTATATTACTGTTTTACTAAAAATTTTCAGATAACTTTCTACATAGTGAAGAAGAATAAATCTTTATTACTAATGAAACAACCTATTTGTAAAAAACTACCATAAAAGTTTTTCCATTAAATAGCAACATACTTCAATGTTCTTTTTTCATTTAAATTTTTAAATAAAAAAAAAATGTACTTACCATAAACTGTTTTTTGTTGTCTATCTGGAAACTTTCAATATCAAAAATTTTCTGTTTTACATTATAAGGATGTTTTTCTAATTGTGGGAGATATGTTAGTTTTCCCTTTGATCTATTTAAATTTGAAGTTAATTTTTTCCACCATTCAATTATTTTCTGAGCATTTTCATTCTATAAATTATTAAAATATCTTTCAAAATTACAAAATCCATTAAGATAATCATTTTGAAAACTGATTAACAAATCTTTTATGTATATATAAATAATAAGAAACAACTAAATTTGTTACGCTTCATTATACCTGTTGATAAATTTCTTTCTCGTATTTCAAAAATGTGATAAATCTGCGAATAACTGATTGAATTAAAGTGATAATGTTGGAAAGTTTTTTCTTATTGTTTGTGGACTTGAAAACTGATAGCAAATATTCAGTTTTGAAAATCTGTACATTAAGAGAAAGTGGTGTTGATTTATTACTAAACGTAGAGACCTGAAGTTTANTGAAACATTCTTTTTTCTCAGAAATAGGATATGGGTCACACTCTATCTATCCTATCCATATAATAATGCATGTTTAAACATTATATTTGCAATAACTGTTTTTAAGATACCTTTTTACATTAACATCTGTTGTGTAACTTAAAAAATATGGGGACACTAGATTTTTTTTTAATCTCAAGTGGGCAGTGGTTGAAATAAGTTTGAGAACCTGTAAACTAGAGTAATCACAGAGGCTAATCCTTAGAAATCAGTATAATCTCTTTTTATTTGTTAATTTACAGAGTACATAACTATAAAGAAGAAAAATTCTTAACTAGTGTTACAAACGTAACGTGTGCCTCCAGGTCTAAGTGTTACAACAGCTAACGCACGACTGACTTGAGACAAAAGAACACGCCAAAAGTCAGAGGTGCGGGGTCGCCTAAGTAGGTCAAGGGGCAATTCGGTGTGGGTTATCCCCTGGAGGTTTACATACATAACAATTATTTTATAATAATAAAAAAATAACACAAACACATTGAAATTTCCGCCAAAAATATAAACAGTTTCATTAATTTAGTTTTCGTATTTTTGAGAAATAATTCACTTGTGTGAGAATTGGGCAAGTGTAAATTCGACAATTTCAATTTTAGAAGTGCAGTCAAGGAACTTCACAAGATTTCCCCACAGATAGCACTTCCTCTGTGAATGACACAGCTTCTGAAAAACTACTCATTGAGGGAAATGAAAATAATAACACTGCTATGCTAATGCACAAAAATGGGCATTAGAGTGGCAGGAAGAACCCCAAATAAAAGGCAAGAAGACAGATGACAACCCAGAATTCACCTGCCTAAATTGTGTTAACCTCCTCACTGTCTTTGACTGGCACTCTTCCTGAACCTTCATCAATTTTTCCACTGGACTTTCACATCTCCCATTGATGAACAAATACCTGAACATTAATGACAAAATGAGACCCTTCTTGAGATGTCATGATCATCACCACTAACCATATAGGTATTTTAAAACTTGCATCCAAAATTGTAAGTGCTCTCTTTCTCTCTTTGTTCAACACACTTGTAATAGACTATTTCAATAATTCTATGTCCTTGTAAAATTTTTATAAACTTAAATAAATTATTGTTATTTAACAGTTTAATGCTTAGTGGAGTGTGTTATTTCCGGCATGCTGTTTCTCAACTCCCTCCTCCATCCCGAACCTGTTCATTCTCATATGCAACCACTTGTGCAAGACTTACATATAGACATAACAGTCACACTTATATTGTTGAAAAGTCACACAAAACACACAAATAACCCATTTAACATGTGCTTTCAAAAGCAATAAATCATTTTTTATTCTTGTTCAACACCTCAACTACTACTCTGGTGATTGACAAAATAGTTAGAGTCCACATTACCAGGCAACAGTTCAAACACCCATTCAGTAATACCTCTAATAAGTAAATTTTTTTTTGAATGTATGCACACATTATGTTATTTCAGCTGGGATAAGAGAAAATGTAAGCAGATATATCTCTGGAACAGAAGAGGTAACCCCTTAACCTTCACAAACATTGATGAGGGTAAGCAGTCAAAAGAATAAATAAATATGTGGTCACTAGGCCCCAGAAACCACTTAGGGGATATAATGGAAAAAAACTCATCAGGATTGAATTAATACCAGTAAATATTTTTAAAACAAATTATTTAAATATATAAATAAGTAATTGTCAAATAATAAATTATTTTTAGTAAAGCTTGTCTAAAACAAACTCTCTGCAAAATGGAAACTGTCTAAATGATAAATAAATCTAGGGACAAAATGATTAAAGGATTTCTATGTAAAATATTACTATCATAAGTTAGAAACTTGTCTAACATGAAAAGAGAAAATCTTTTGTATATAAATTGCACAACATAACCTGAGTAAAGCAAAAATTTTGACATAATAGCAGCTAAATTCAAAATCACATTCCAAAGATAGAGTTTTTAACAGACTTCCTCCACACACACAGTTTGATGTTTTCAGTATGTCTTTAAAATGAACACTTAAATTGAGATTTAGATGATCAAGGAAGCACAGTGTAGTAATTTTTGCACTGAAAACTTCCCAAGTCAGAGGTAACAGTTAACTGGCAGCACTATTGATACATGAGAACATAAGACAATGGAGTAATAAAATAGCAGCTCCTCTCCAGCAGTGCATGAAGTAAGGGCCATATTGGATATAATGAATGTTGATTAGTTTTTTGTCCAAAACTAGACATACTACAGTAGACCACTGTTGTACGAGTCACTTAGATTTTACAAATACGTGTGCCAGGCTGGGAACAGCTCATGTATTTGTAAAATCTAAGTGACTCGTACAACATGGAATTCATATAACATGGAATTATCTACAGTGTTATAGGGGGGGTCTACTGTATATGGCACTTGCTTTGTGCACTGTTGGCCGCCATTTTATTGGCCTCTTGTCTTATGTTCTTGCTCATTAATTGTGTTGCCAGTCACAGTTACTTTTGTCTATAACTTGAAAGTTTTGTGTGTCAAAATTTCTATTGCTCATCCTTCCAATTTTTAAATGGCATTTTTCTATTTTCTATTGAATGTGTCTTGTATTTATTTTCTTGTGAAAATATCACAAATAAGCCAAACGGCTGGAATTTTTATGCAAAAATTAGAATAAGGTTAAAGGTGCATTAATTAATAATATTCAACTAGAACATTCTTTCTCAAAGTGGGCGATATCACCCCCTTGTGGGCGCTGGAGGCTTTCAGCGGGGCAGTAGAAGGCTCAGTGATTAAATATGAGTTTTATTTCTTCTCATTGAAACATTCTTTTTTCTCAGAAATAGGATATGGGTCACACTCTATCTATCCTATCCATATAATAATGCATGTTTAAACATTATATTTGCAATAACTGTTTTTAAGATACCTTTTTACATTAACATCTGTTGTGTAAGTTAAAAAATATGGGGACACTAGATTTTTTTTTAATCTCAAGTGGGCAGTGGTTGAAATAAGTTTGAGAACCTGTAAACTAGAGTAATCACAGAGGCTAATCCTTAGAAATCAGTATAATCTCTTTTTATTTGTTAATTTACAGAGTACATAACTATAAAGAAGAAAAATTCTTAACTAGTGTTACAAACGTAACGTGTGCCTCCAGGTCTAAGTGTTACAACAGCTAACGCACGACTGACTTGAGACAAAAGAACACGCCAAAAGTCAGAGGTGCGGGGTCGCCTAAGTAGGTCAAGGGGCAATTCGGTGTGGGTTATCCCCTGGAGGTTTACATACATAACAACTGGTTAAGAGTTTATTGTTTAATTAATGTATAGAAAATAAGCAAAATGATTACTTTGTGAAGACAATTTTGCAATTCTAATGTAATTCTCACTGAAATCTGGCATCCATTCTTTCTTAGTTGAAAGTGTTTCCAAAACTTCTGAATATGTAAAGCTGCCATTTCCTTAAAAAAAATAATTATATAAAATTCTAAAATGAAAATAATCAATATTAATTTTAATATACTGTACAGTCAAACTTCCTTAAAATGAATTGCCTTAGAGAAACATGGAGATTTTATTATGTAGTAAATTAAATGGAGAATATTTTAACCTCATTATAAGTACTGTACTCATCATAGCAATCAGATAGCAACAGATATAGAAATAAAATAATATTTTAACAAATTTAGATAATTATCTATATAAAAAAATATGAATTATTTTTATTTCATTAACTACACTAATGAAGAACATTTTTAAATGTAAAGAGAAGAAATATTCCCACAAATAAAAGGAATGTTCCATTGTATTAACAAATTCAGGATTTAAATTTTTAAAAATTCTAGTAAAAATTTAAAATTTCATAATTAATGTGTTATTATTAATAAATTTAAACTACTGTTGTATTTATAAACATGTAAAGATATTTATGAAAGAAATATTAAAAATTTTCAACAGTTATTACATTGAAATACCAGTAATTAAGGCATTCATTGAAAAAAAAAAATTTCAAATGATCTAACAAAAACATTAAAAACTTTTAAATAAAATTATAGTTTACCTTTTCAACTTTATTAACTTTCTTTATTAATTGCAAATTTTTTATGAATCCTATTACAAATGCTTGTATACAAATTAAACTGTTAAACATTGGTTTCCTGTACTTATATTCCAGAAGTTTATCCCACCAGAGATTAATTTTTGCTGTAATTTGATCATTCTGAAAAATTTTTTAAATATAAACTAAAATATACACTAAATAATGATTGATAATACAGTTAATATAATAATAATATAAATCAAATTATTGTTTTAATGTTTTATTCAAAGTTTCAGGCACTGCAACATTTATTGTAAGCAGTATCTAGAGATCATAATGATGATAAAATACCATCAAGATATAAAAAATAAATGAATATTTTTGTGATTTCAAAATCAATTATAATCTGGCATTTGTTTTCCCAATTTACCTCTTGAATTTTACAAATCTTTATAAATCTTATCCTCTCCATTAATCCTTTTAATCTAGCTTGAATGATAACCAAATTGTCAAAAACTTCTCCGTGATGCTTACAAGATAACATTTCTTCCCAGCAAATATCTGCATCATGAGTAATTTTCTGAACCTAGGTAAAATAATATTAAATTCAATTTTGAATAAATAATTGTAATAAATAACATTTACATACACTTTCTCAGCTCTAATAAATTTGCTATAAGAAAGCAGAAAGATCTAAAGAAGTAGGGATCTTTTTTTAGTCTAGCACTTTTAATTTTTTAAAAACAAATGAATAATAAAAGCAATTAAAACAGCACTGTAGTTGTGCCAGGTAGCACCCTGGAACTTTCTTCCAGCATGAAGACCTTCTGCTTTGTGAACATCTAGGCTAGATTTTAGACTATGTACCTCAGAAAAAATCTGAGTAAATTACTTCTTGCACAGTTTTTTGCACTGATTATGACTATAAAAGGTCATTTTGGTGCATTTAAGCCATTTTTGCAGATATTGTGGCACAAAGTTGCATTTTGCCCATACAATGCTCCATAGTCAGTGGCAATTCAAACTCAGGTAGTGTGCCCTGGCACTTTTTAATTTACAAATTACATTTCAGTTAAAATATTAATGAAAATTAGTGGTACTTTTCTGTGGATGCAAGTTGATTTTTACTGCTGTGTATAGGGAAATTGCTATTTTATTATGTCTTATTTACACTTCGAAAAAACATTGAAAAAATTAACAAATAAACTTAAAACAAGGTTTTTTCTATACTTTACATGGGAGGCAAAAACATGCGGCTTTCGTTTATCATTGCCGCAAACATTTCAGTCTTTGAGTGCAATGGACACCACATGAACTTGATTAGGTATGAATCTAAGTGATGACAGAAAGGTTCTCAATTCAAGCTCTGAATGAGACGGTTGGGACCATAACAGAGCTGTTAAGCATACCCATAGGAACCACACCTCTACACGTGGCCTTTCACAAGATATAGCTCCCAAATTATTCTATGTGACATATTTCTATGCTTATTTTCCTATCTCCAAACCTTTCCAGTGCTGTGGAAGAACACGTCCTACATGTTATTTTCTGCATGTAAAGAGACTTTCGTCAACCTCTACAATTTTGTTTAAACCGTCTATTTTTACTACAGGTCGAGAAATTAATGAATTGGCACATGTAATTATTTCAATCAACTGTAGTACAGTGATTCATTCCTCTAACTGCAGTTGACAAAATTCTACAGAAATCAATTCTAGACAGCAGAAATAAATAAACCGAAGAGCAGTCAGAAAAGAAATATGAGAACCTTCGAACCAGTTTCGACTTCGCAAACATTTCTTTTCACGTCACGATCTAACGTCTCATTTCTATATAAACATCTATACTGAAACCCGATGCATTGCAACTGGTTTCATTCTCGAGTGCAAATGGATTTCACAATATGGCATTTTTAATGCCACATTGCGAAATCCATTTGCACTCGAGAATGAAAAAACAGAAGTTCAAAAAGAACAAGTTAAAGTATGAAAGTTTGTTTTGCATTGGTACTTCCAAGAAACTTAATTTACATATCTAAAAGACGTTAAACGACGCAACAAAATCAATGCATCAATATGTAAATCATTTTAGGATTTTAACAGGAATTTAGTTATTTTTTTGTTTTAAATTTTGACTAATTTAAGATTTTTTTAAAATCGAATTTATGCTTTGTAATTTAAATGTAGACGTGATATTAAAATTCTCAATGACATCAATGCAAAACTATTCAAAACATCGACAAAATCAATAATTATTGCTTATTTTCCAATCCATGTTTATAATATTTAATAAATTTTTACAAAAAAAAGATAGTATTATTTTTTATCCATTTGACTTTAATTACACTACAATCTTTGTATATGTGAGTAAGGAGACGGAATCACGCATCAGATTACAGTTACAATTGGCGGGATTAAAAGTATCAAATTTATTCTTGCAGATTATTAATAGAAATTTAAAAAATTACAAAAACCGATCATTCAATTGTCTAACGCACTCTTATTTTACTTAATTATATTATATTAATTATCTAGAACAGTGATTCCCAACCTGTGGTACTCGTACCCCTAGGGGTACGCGATAGGTTGTTTAGGGGTACAGAAAAAAGTTAGTTATTATGGCAGAAAAAATAATATATTATGTATCACAAACTAATAGTATTAAAAAATTATTAGATAAAAAATGTTCCTTGCAACAATCACAACTTTATTATACATTTTTTCTTTTAGGTTTTTTTTCTTTAATTTAAAGTTACAATATGTAAAATTAACAATACG